GGAGAGGGCTTCCCTCAGTGGCTTACCTGGAACACACCTCTAAACATCTTTAAACACCATTTCCCTTCTCATATGTAGCTGATAAACTCTCTACAGCCTCACCCATCCAGGCTTCTTATTCACACTTCTCCTCCTTCCTTATCCCAACTCTCCCTGCCCTCACATTCCGAGCTACTCCCTGCTGTGGGCTGCCCCTCCACACCCTCAACCTCAACAAGGCTCAAGTGATTTGCTCTTCATTCCAGTGCAGGGTTTCTCAATCTTGGCATGATTGCCAGTTTGAGCTGAATAATTCTTTGTTGGAGGGTCAATCTTGTGCATTGTAGGATGCTTACCAGTATCCTTGGCTTCTACTAGTTAGATGCTAGGAGCATCTCCCCAACTGTGACAACCAAAAATGTCCCTAGACATTGTCAAATGTGCCCTGGCAGACAAATAGTGGAGAGCCACTTTTCTGGATATATTCTCTATCTCATTACATTGGTAACTGCAATGCAGAGTAGTGTCAAACATAATGACATTCAGAAACTATGTGAAGCATAGTGTTTATCTGAGTGCAAAGCTTCAGGATGACTACCCAGAAAACACATACTCTAAAAGAAGGGGTCATCATTCGTAAGTGGATTAGTTAGGGTTTCATTTATATAGGGAGTTACATTTTCCATACAAGGTCAGTGCATAGGTTATAGCCATTTGATAGGTTACAGATTGCCACAATAAAAGGAACATTGCCTTAACGTTCCATGAGGAGGAGTGATGATCTGAGGGAAGTCTTATCTCTGTTGCCACAACCCCTTTCCTAATAATTTACAGGAAAAAGCAGAAGTTCCAGCTGCACACTATGTGACTCAGGCCACATAGCCAGAATCCTCTCTGGGCTCAAAATACCTTAAAGTTCCAACAGCTTCAAGTTTGAATTACTTAATTTTACAATAGAAAAAGATGTCAGGAAGGATACTGAAAAAGTATCTAACCGAGAGTTAAGAGTTCAGACAGGGCTCCCTAAAAGATGTCACAAATGTCAACGCACATGGTTGGAAAATAGTTTGCCAGGTTGGGGCACATCATGTATGGAAGCCTGCTGATAAATGATAATGAAACATCAGGGAAATATTAAGGAACTCAGAGTACCAGCAGGGAAGTGGCGAGAGACACCGCTGGGGCAGGTGGGTGAGAGGAAGGGGATGGAGAGCCTTGTGTACTATGATGAGGAATTTGACCTCCTGAAGTCAAGAGGGGACCACTGAAGTATTTTAAACAAACAAATAGTTTTATTTTAGAAAAGTTATTCTGGTAGCCGTGTGGAAATTAAAGTCAATAAAGATAGAGAACATTAGGAGACTATTACACATCGTAGATAACATTCATATAATGTTTAGGGCTATCTGGTCACTGACTAGTCAACCAGGCAAATCCTAGTGTCATCCTCTTTCTACATCAAAATTTCAACAAAGCCATAGCTGCTGGCAGTTCAAAAAGGAAATATCGCTGTCACACAGTGAGATTTGGCAAGAAGGTAAAACGGGTTCATGAGCTCTTAATCACAATTTTCACTGTATTTTATTAGAATTTAAGTTTTACTTACTATGTTCTCAATCTCTAAAATTTGAAATTCTCACACGCCTTAGCAGGTAAAGTCTGTTACTGTCTTCACATATTTGGAAGATCTCCTCCAGTCTCAGGGACATAAATATAGCCTATATTGTGTTAACTTTAATTTACATCTCTAGCTTGAATTCCCCCGCCTAATTATCAAAAACTGCTCAATGTATCAACTTATGTGCCTAATAGGGTCCTCCACACAATCTATCAGCAAATTCTGAAAGCACTATAATTAAATATCATATACCTATACCTACCTCTCTCTCTCACACACACACACACAAATGGTCAGGTTTAGTTTCTGACATTATTTCTTCTTACTTTTCCTCTAAATGTGTTACCGTGTGAGTTTCTGTTTTTATAATCAATCTTTACTCAGCTAACACTGTCTACTGTCCATGCGCATGCTATTAACTGAAACTACTTACTCACATAGCCTTACCAATTTTAAGAAAACAAGGCAAATATGGAGGAAAAAAAGTCATGTAATATTAATAGTCCATAATCTATTATAAATTATTCTGCAACTAATAAGCAATTGTAAAAATGATGCTGTATTTACCCCCCAACTTAATCTTGTGTAATGGCCTACTATGTAATAGCATATCTCATTTCCGAGCCTAATGAATTATTGTATATACTATTGGATCAAAATTACATGTATAGCCGGGCGTGGTGGCTCAAGCCTGTAATCCCAGCACTTTGGGAGGCCGAGGCGGGTGGATCACGAGGTCAAGAGATCGAGACCATCCTGGTCAACATGGTGAAACCCCATCTCTACTAAAAATACAAAAAACATTAGCTGGGCATGGTGGTGCGTGCCTGTAATCTCAGCTACTCAGGAGGCTGAGGCAGGAGAATTGCCTGAACCCAGGAGGCGGAGGTTGCGGTGAGCCGAGATTGCACCACTGCACTCCAGCCTGGGTAACATGAGTGAAACTCCGTCTCAAAAAAAAAAAAATTACATGTATAAAAACCTTAGGTCTCATGTTTCTTGATATTTGTGTTTGAACTGAAAACCACACTACATAATCTCTGTAATTTGTGCATGACTATTTAGTTACAAATAATGCAATACAACCTGAGCTAGCAAAGAAAAACAGAGAGAAAAAGAACTTACAACAGGATACAGAATCAGAATCATCTCAGAGAGCCACAGGAAGGGATGTAGCCTACCTAGCCTCAATGAACTTGACGCAAGAACTAGGTACCAGGCAATTTTCTTTGAATTGACTCCTCTTTGCTTTATTTACAAATCTGCTTCACTCTTCTGTCTCCTTCTGTTTTCCTGATTCATTGGTTTGTGAGGTAGAGCCTGACGCATAATGATTCTATGATTCTTTTTCTTTTCTTTCCTTATTTTTTTTGAGATGGAGTCTTGCTCTGTTGCCCAGGCTACAGTGCAGTGGTGCAATCTTGGCTCACCGTAACCTCTGGGCCCTGGGTTCAAGTAATTCTCATAACCTAGCCTCCCGAGTAGCTGGGACTACAGGTGTGTACTACCATGCTTGACTAATTTTTGCATTTTTAGTGGAGGCTGGGTTCCCCCTGTGGCCAGGCTAGTCTCAAACTCTCGACCTCAAATGATCTGCCCACCTCAGCTGCTGGGATTACAGCCATGAGCCACTGTACCTGGCCCTGTAATAATTCTTGAACTTATATGTTACAATTCCCATCATCAGGCAGAGTAACTTTCTCTCATTCTCAATGTCTCATTTCTGGGAAAGACACTTGCTATTGACTGAATGTTTGCACTGCCATCCCCCCAACCCCAGCATCAAATTTATGTTGAAACTATAATCATGAATGTGATGCAATTTGAAAATCAGAACTTTGGGGGGTAATTAAATCACGAGGGTTGAGCATTTATGATTGAATTAGTGCCTTATAAGCAGAGAAACAAGAGAGGTTGCTTCTTCTCTCTCTGTGCTCTCTGCCATGTGAGTAAGCAGCAAGGACCCAGCCATCTGCAAACCAGGGAGGGCGCCCTCACTGGGGACCCGGTCTTGTTGGCAACCAAATCTTGGACTTCCAACATCTAGAACGGTGACAAATACATTTCTGTCGTTTAAGCCACCCAGTCTATGGTAACTTGTTATGGCAGCCTGAACTGACTAAGAGACTATCCAGGCTCATGGATCAAATGTTAACAAATAATTGAGATCCTGCTCTACTGGAGACTTCTTTGTCCTCCATTGCAGATTGAGGGAATGGGCAGTTGATAGAAATGATTGTAAAAGGTCCAGTGTGGTTTGATGGTACAGTTAACAATTTAAATCTAAATACATTATTTTCCCTTTTGGTTTGGCACATATCAGACAAAAAGTCATGTCCTGGTCATATGGTGCCTTAGATTCAGGGAAATAAATAAAATGGAAGAAAAGAGATATCTCAATCCCTTCATCCTACTGTGATTAACTGAAAGAACTGCATTTGATAAACTTTAATTTGCTATCATTTAGGAGACTCTCCTTAAGTAGATTCTGTTCAACTTATCCAGATGCTATTTAACACACACCTCTGTAGAAGATGTCTTAGTTCCCACACTCCCTCCCACTTTTATATATTAGTCAAACCATTACCTCATTCCTGAAATGACCTCTCTCCCTGATTGCCTAAGTTTACTGAGTCCTCAAGACCTCCTATTTAATTCATATTATACTTTTTAATACACGATGTTCACTGTGCAAAGGTTGTAAGATTTAAAACATTAATTTCCATTTTAAGGAATTTATAGTATTCTAATGGATGAAACACTTTCAATACAAACTAATATATTAAACAAACAATAAAACAGCCTTAGACAAGTATACGATTAGTCTTTTAATTGGTGAAGCACACTTTAAATATAAGCTAATTATACAAATAATAACATAACCTATATATGTAATATACATATAAAATGTAGAAGTCTATGTTATTATTATTAATATCAAATGTATTAAGCAAACATAGCCTCATATGTGTAAAAAGTAGAAGTGTCTGGGGGGAAGAAGTGAAATTCAGAGAGGGATGATGAACAATTTTGTAGGATGGGAAATTAGGAGATGGGAAGGGGAAGTTCAGGAAGAATTCACAGAACTGCAGTGATCCTCCCTTCTGATACTCTTATCTGCCCTATCATGTGTGATGTCTTATACATTGGACCCATCACTTTCTCTGTCTACTTTATTTTTCCAAGGAGATTCTACATTCATGTGAAGAGCAGACATGATTCACCTATTTTCTCCATTTGACACACTACGCTGCAGAGTTCCTATCATCTTTCTTTTTTTTTTTTTTTTTTTTTTTTGCAGAGTTTCCCCCCTCCCCCCGGCGTGGAGGCCGGGGGCACAATCCCCGCTCCCCCCCCCCCCCACCTACTGAGTTCAAGTGACCCCCCCCCCCCACCGCTACTGCTACATTTGACTGGCTTAATAATAAAAAACGATTCCCCTTTCTGTAAAATCCTCTTCACTTTTCCAGGCTTACCTACACTACCTCTTTAGTGCATTCTCAACATATACAGGTTTTTTTGTTTTGTTTTTTAATGTAAATAGAAAGGAGGCTTGCTTTGTTGCTCAGTCTGGAATAAAACTCTTGGCCTCGGGTGATCCTCCCACCTTGGCCTCCCAAATTGCCAGGATTACTGGTGTAAGCCACAGCAACTGGCCCCAACATGTATGGTCCTAAAGACACCTCACACTTAACAACTAATACCAACAAGGTGCTTCAAGTTTTCTGGTCAGGTGTCTCCAACAAGTCAAACAAGTGGTACAGCCTGCAAATGAACCCCATTATCCATTCTCCCCATCTTCCTCAGGTTTTCAATGCACACATACCCACTCCAGTGACTCCATTTCTGCCTCCCCTGCAGGCAAGGCACCACAATATTAAATAGAAGTTGTGTGTACAGCCTCAAAGAAATTTCCTCAAAGCAGGAGGGCATACCCTTTTCCCATTTCCTCCTATTGCAGGCTACAGTGAAGATGTGCATAAAGCAACAGTTCTGGAACATAAGAAAGAAGCTGAGGCTGGAAGAACCTCGGGCCAAAGATCAAGGAATCATCAGATCAGCCCTGGACTGCTTTCCTGTGAAGCAAGGACAAGCAACGTTTTTCTTAACAAGCCTGATGGTAAATATTTTCACCTCTGCAGACTGATACAGTCTCTATCACAACCACTCAATTTTTACTGACAGCTTTTTTCTTCTTTAGACTTTTAAAGGGCAATTTCCCTAGATAGTGATTAACGAAATAAAGGATAAGAATAACTTATATAGATATATAAGTCTTCAAAACAATTACATGAATTAACACAGTCACCAAGAATAGATGTTTTGCCACTACCCTAAAAAGAAAAGGTATTATCATCTTTTAAAAATTCACTGGCCAGGCAGAGTGGCTCAAGCCTGTAATCCCAGAACTTTGGGAGGCCGAGGTGGGTGGATTACCCAAAGTCAAGAGTTAAGAGACCAGCCTGGCCAACACAGTGAAACCCCAGATCTACTAAAAATACAAAAAAAAAAAAAAAAAAATTCATAACTTAGGCCAGGCACAGTGGCTCACGCTTGTAATCTCAGCACTTTGGGAGGCCAAGATGGGTGGATCACCTGAAGTTGGGAGTTCCAGATCAGCCTCACCAACCTGCAGACACCCCATCTCTACTAAAAACAAAAAATTAGCCGAGCTTGGTGGCACATGCCTGTAATACCAGCCACTCAGGAGGCTGAAGCAGGAGAATCACTTGAACCTGGATGGCAGATGTTGTGGTGAGCCAACATTGCACCACTGCACTCTAGCCTGGGTGACAAGAGCAAAACTCTGCCTCAAAAAATAAAAAAAATTCGTAACTCAGTAACTATGCGCTCCTCATTTGATCTGGCTTTGCTCTGATGCCTAGTAAACTGTAACACATACAGTGCCAGTCAATGACTAACTGGTGACTGAGAGATGGCTTAGAAAAGATTTAAGACTTCCTGAATTTTGGTACCCATTTTAAAAACTGACAGTGAAGCAAAAAACCAAAAGAGCGACTAGCAAATTACTGAGCTTACCAGTTCACTGGCAAGAATTAGAGCTCCTGAGAGATAATCTTCTACATCCAGATGAAATCCTTTCTCCCGATCTGGCTCAACTAAAGAACACATGAAAATAAACTCACGCTGTGAATGCAATTTAAGCCTCAGAACATAAAAATATACACATAATTTCTCCCAAATTAAGTGAAGGATGAATCTTTTAAAAACTGGCTTTTTAATATATTCACACCCTCAGCAACTAAACCGCACTGTGAATTTTTTGAGCTCTTAAGCAAAATTTAATTCAGTCTTTCCTCAAAAAGTAGTATTATCAAAATGCTGTCAATTGGTGTCAGAGAATATACCTCTTGTTAGAAAGTGCATGATGGCCGGGCACGGTGGCTCACGCCTGTAATCCCAGCACTTTGGGAGGCCGAGGCGGGTGGATCACAAGGTCAAGAGATCGAGACCATCCTGGTCAACATGGTGAAACCCCGTCTCTACTAAAAATACAAAAAATCAGTTGGGCATGGTGGTGCGTGCCTGTAATCCCAGCTACTCAGGAGGTTGAGGCAGGAGAATTGCCTGAACCCAGGAGGCAGAGGCTGCGATGAGCAGAGATCGCGCCATTGTACTCAAGCCTGGGTAACGAGAGCAAAACCCCGTCCGCAAACAAAAAAAAAAAAAAAAAGAAAGTGCGTGATAAAGCATTTAAGAAAGGACTTAGCATATTTGAAACTAACTTTCAAATGGTTGGCAAAGACACAAAAGAAGATTAAGCAGATGTAGCAAAATGTTAACAAGTGGCAAATCTATGTGGCGTGTAAACAGGTATTCATCGTACTATTCTTTCCATTTTTCTGTAGGCTTGGAACTTTTAAAAATCCAATTATAAAAACTGAAAGAAGCAAGTGCAAATGAGTTACCACTATTATTTTTAGCTTTTGTGTTTCCAAGTACAGCTGGCCCTCTGCTGACCAACTGCGGATTGAAAATACTTGGGAAAAATAAATTAAAATGACAATACAACAATTCAAAATACAGATTTTTAAAATCAATATGGTATAACAACTATTTACACAGCACTTATACTGTATTAGACATTTTAAGTAATTAGAGATGATTTAAAATATGTGGGAGGATGTGCATAGGTTATATGCAAATACTACACCATTTTATAAAAGGTGTTGAACACCCTCAGATTTTGGTATTGGGATAGTTCTGGATCCAGTCATCCTCAGATAACAAGCTACCACTGTAAGTGGTTTTTAGTTAGTTCTTACCTGTTTTAATAAACAAAGTACAGCCACCCTTTCCACCAAAAACTAAGCAACCATGCCTGATTCCACAGATCCCACTAATGAAGACACTTACTGCCAAGAATTTCTGTAACCGCTTCTTGAGTCACTAGCGTTTCTGTTTCCAAATACACAACAAATGCTGCCAAGAAGACCAAGCGCCGCAACACAAACCTCCAGTGCTCATGAAATCTGCAGGAAAATACGCACACTCAACCTCCAAGGCTACAGACCTTCGGAGAGATGGGCTTTATACAGTCATGTTCAAACAGTGCAGAAATAAGATCATTTTTCAAATAAAATCTTATGCAAACCCGCCATATATGAAGAGCAATATGACATTTACTATAAATTTTACAAGTTCAAATTTGTAACAATTATTTAAGTTTAATCAGTGAGCAATATGGTCTAATTTTGATGAATATGAAAATTTACACCAGGTGCGGTGGTTCATGCCTGTAATCCCAGCACTTTGGGAGGCCGAGGCAGGTGGATCACCCAACGTCTGGAGTTCAAGACCAGCCTGGCCAACATGGCAAGACGCCATCTCTACAAAAATAACAAAGTTAGCCAGGCGTGGTGGCACACACCTATAGCCCCAGCTACTCAGGAGGCTGAGGTGGGGGAATCGCTTGAACCTGGGAGGCAGAGGTTGAAGTAACCCAAGATCACACCACTGCACTCCTGCCTGGGCGACAGAGTGAAACTCCGCCTGAAAAAAAAAAAAAAAAAAGAAAGAAAAATTACAACTGAAGATTACAGATGACAGGAGCAATCGTGCTAAGTTTAATCAGTAAGAACAATGATACTGCTCTGAGAAAAATAAAAATTCGCAACTGACAATTGAAGACAACTGTAGTCGACTTATTCCTACATTTTGATTTGAGTGCAGGATACCAAGAAAATTCTGATTCACAAAATTGCCATTTGCAATCACTAAATAAACGGACTTAAAGTGATGGAATACTGAGCTAGAAGCCTGAAAAAAGAAAAGGACATTTTACAACCTGTGGATAGTTACACTGTGCCTCCTGATTTTCAAATGTGGGAATATACGTTCAAAAAAAGTCTCAACACAATGCAGGTCACATAAACGCTTCTCAAGGCCAAATCTAGCCAGGAGGCAGCCTGTGTGTGTCCTCCAGAGATGGTCTCTAAAGACCCCGCTAGTTCTACTGTCCTACCTTTCTCTGTGCTTCAGTTAGGACAACAGCTGTCCCTGACCCTTTCAGCACCAGGGACTGGTTTCACCGAAGACAACTTTCCCACAGAAGGTGGGGGAGACGGTTTCAGGATGAAATTGTTCCACTTCATATCATCAGGCATTAGATTCTCATAAGGAGCATGCAACCTAGACCTCTCGCATGCAGTCAGCATTAAGGTTCTCACTATGAGAATCAAATGCTGCCACCAATCTGACAGGAGGTGGAGCTCTGGCAGTAATAGGGGGTGATGAGGAGCAGCTGTAAATACAGATGAAGCTTCTCTCCGTCACCCACCGCTGACCTCCTTCTGTGCACCCCAGTTCCTAACAGGCCACAGACCAGTACCAGTCCACAGCCTGGGAGCTAGGAACCCCTGCCATACAACAAGGATCGACAAATTTTTTCTGTAAAGGGCCAAGTAGTAAATATTTTAGGCTTTGTGGGCCACTTTCAGTGTTACATCTTCTTATCTGGGAGTTTTCTTTTAACAACTCTTGAAAAAATAAACGTAATTCTTAGCTCCCAGAGGCAGCAGCCACCAGTGGTTTGTCAACCTGTGCCTGAAAGAGTATTCTCGCCGGGCATGGAGGCTCACGCCTGTAATCCCAGCTACTCATGAGGCTGGGGCAGGAGAATTGCCTGAACTCAGGAGGCGGAGGTTGCGGTGAGCCGAGATCATGCCATTGCACTCCAGCCTGGGTAACAGGAGAGAAATTCCGTCTCAAAAAAAAAAAAAAAAAAAAAGAGTATTCTCGTGAGGTTATACTATCCACCCCTGAAAATACTCATCCTATTTACTGTTGATACATATGTCTTAAAATAATGTCTTTTTCTGTAAGAAAATTAAAATAAGTAGAAATTCTTCAGTCAGATGCAGTTTTTTCACAGTTTAACAGCTATGAAACCAGGATACATTTCACAATCTATCTTTCACAGTTTTTTTTTTTTTTCTGAGATAGAGTCTCACTCTGTTGTCCAGGCTGGAGTGCAATGACGCAACCTCAGCTCACTGCAACCTCCGCCTCCCAGGTTTGAGCGATTTTCCTACCTTAGCCTCCCAAGTGGCTGGGATTACAGGCGTGAGCCACCACACCCAGATAATTTTTGTATTTTTAGTAGAGATAGGGTTTCACCATGCTGACCTGGCTGGTCTCCAATTCGTGACCTCAGGTTCTGCCCCTCGCTTGGCCTCCCAAAGTGCTGGGATTACAAGTGTGAGCCACCTTGCCTGGCTCATGTTTCACGATTATGACTGGCAACATTTTCCTTCCCTACATAAAATAAGGGTGTATCTTAAAATTAACAGTGCTGTAGATTCAACAAGAAGATGTGGCATAAAATATTAACTCTATATGTCACTTGGCAGTGAAATTCAAGCTTCAAATGAAAACTTGACGCTATTTATATATACCGTCACCTAATCTCATTACCTCACTAACTATAGTTCATCCAATTTCATAAGATACTTAAATACAGCAAAAAGATATTCTTTTGACCTTCATACCACATTTTTGCATTGCTTTTTCCCTGGAAAAGTAATGAATGTTCCTTAAGAAGATTTAGAAAGTGAAAAGAAAAAAAAAAAATCCCGAATTTTTGTCATGACCATTATTAGTTTGGTTCTTCTCTTTTTGTTACTCCTACACATTAGAATGTTTACCTAGTTGTAAGCAATCATTTGGTACATATAATTTTTCTCCTTTTCTTTACTTAACGTTATGAAATGCTATTTTTGTTACAAACCTGTAATACTGTTCAGCAGGAAACTTGGTCTTCAAAGACGTTAGATGTGTTTTTACTGTACCAAAATGTTCCTGAGCTTTCAAACACCTCTTTGGAGCTAATCACAAAAGATAACCAAATGTAATCATGAAAAACTTACCAAATTTCAAATACAGTTCTCGCTTAATCATCTAAGTAATATATCTGGAAATGGATCAACTTTTTTTTAACCTTACAACAAATGTACACATCTCTGCTTTTCAACCTGGCTCTCAAAATATCATCCCTAGTTTCCCTACTAATAAGCTATACTGAAAAATAAACAACTTGCTAAAAGGGAATATATTAGGAGACACATTGGTAATTGGCTAAGTTGTCATAAATAACGTCATCCTTCAGGGGCTGTGCACCAGCCACTATTCCTGTTCACTCCTGAGAGAATGCTTAACATTGGATTGCTCCTTCCCGTATGTGACAGAATAAAGCCTTTATCAACTATTCACAATCAAGATGACCAACTCTATATCATTTAGAAAAATGACTTGCCTCTGGCATGTGTCAATGCATTATTATATCATTCTTGTATCTGAAAATATACTTCAGCTCTTTTAGCTGTGCTGGCTATGCCTTACAATGAAGGTTCCATGTCTAAACTTGACATATTTGACTTCCATTGACAAGGTTGACTGTAAAGACATTGATTTGAGAACACTTTATGCTGTTAATCTCATATTAAAAGGTATTTAATGCAAATCAACAGGAAGTTGGGGAAAAAAAGGTATTCAATCACTGAAAGGCTGGATACACACACATACACACACACACAAACACACACACACACACACGGACCAAATAAAAGTCACTAGATAACACAAAGGAGTTACAAACCCTTTTTATGCTTACCCTGAGAAGACTGTGCTGGCAGAAAGCTGCACTTTTTTTTCTAAACAGGAAATGGGTTAAGCAATTGTAATTATCATCAGTAGAATGCTCTCACAATAGAGAAAATATCTCTATTTAAATCATACTATGTGGAAGTGGAAAAATCAAAATTACCAAATCACCTACTTCTTCAATTTGTATTCACCATAAAGTATGATGGACATTTTTCATTATAAAATGTCGTCTAGATAGAAACTCTCTACATAAGAGATACTTGGATACAAAACAAAGAATTTACTGTCCTGAAACCCAGCACCCTGAGGGACACCTTGCAGTAAAGTCAAAATCTCTCAAGCTGTTTGTTCTAAACTCTGTACAACTTTTCAGATTTCCTAGAGAGAAGTAAAAAAAAATCAGATACTCAACACAATTACTGTCATACACTCACATCAAACACATTAGATAGTATATGTGATCTACCATAACCAAGTTGGAATCCTGACTTTTCCATTTATTTCCTCTGTAACACTTCAAAAAGTCACTAAAAAGCCTTAGATTCCTGAGGTAGCCTTTAAAGGATAACAGCCATGCATTCACCCCAAGTATCCAATTGGAACATTATCAAATGGATGATGTGTGTCAACATAATTTGTAAAATGAAGAGTTAAATGCAATACAAGAGTTGGGTATTTCTTTTTTCTTTTTTTTTTTGAGACAGAGTCTTGCTCTGTTGCCCAGACTGGAGTGCAGTGGCTCGATCTAAGATAACCACAACCTTCGCCTCCCGGGTTCAAGCGATTGTCCTGCCTCAGCTTCCGTAGTAGCTGGGATTACATGTGTGCGCCACCACGCCCAGTTAATTTTCTTTTGTATTTTTAGTAGACATAGGGTTTTACCATGTTGTCCCAGGCTGGTCGGACTCCTGACCTCAGGTGATCTGCCAGCTTCGGCCTCCCAAAGTGCTGGGATTACAGGTATGAGGCACTGCACCCAGCCTTCATTTTTAAAATGTTCACTTAGCACACTTATGAGCCAGGCACTGTGTAAATACTTGGCGAACCAAGCATACAATCCCTTCCCTCTGGTGGTTTAACATATAACGAGAGAGAAGGTATTTTTAAAATAATCAACATTACACGCATTTTTTTTTTTCAAATTTAATGTGCTATTAGAAAACATAACAGGAAATAGACCGTTTAGGTTGTGAGGTCAAGGAGATAATATGAGATAACCAGGGAAAGAACGGGAACGACGCAAATTCCAGTAAAGGCAAACAGGCAGGAAGCTAACTGGGGCAAGAGAAGTAAAGAGCTAAAGTGACATCATACATAGAGATGGCGTAAAATGAGATTGAAGAGAGACCATGTGGGCCACAGTACAGTTTGATTTTTTAATGCTATGTGGGATAGGAAACCACAGGAGAGTTTGAAATAGGAGATTACAGGTGCTTTTAAGACATCAACAACAAATACACGAAACGCGTATTCGCTGAAGAACATGTGCTATTCGAGCCTTCCATATATAAGGAAGTGCTGAAAACAAGGAAAACTGACCCAAACGAGGCAGGTGATGCTGAGAAGCTGAGACCCGAACACGGAGAATCAGGACAGAGCGGTAGGATAAGGGGCGGGTAGTGCCCTAACCTAAAGCTAGAGGGGAAGCAACCGACCCTCGGAGGCGTCCCCACCGCCCCAGACTCAGCGACGGAGGAGGGCCGGGCGATGTGGCCCAGCTAGGCACGGAGAGGGAAAGGGAATGGGGAAGGGAGGGGCCTCGCCTCTCGGATGTCCTGCTCGGCAGCCAAAAGGCCCTGCAGCCCCACGAAGATCTCGTTCACGGACATGGCGCTGGCTGCACAACAATCTGCCAGTGTTGGCAAGGGCGGCCAGGGAAGTGGACTCCAGAGACAACCCGCGGAATCAACCGTAACACCCGCCTCAGTCGCAGGCGTTGCCGCGTACCCCCGGTCTTACACCACGGGCAGTTGCCGGGGTCCTCCGAGGCCCGCGGCGCGCGGGAAGACTGGCTGCCCGCCGCACTGCCTGAGGAGCCCGCCGACCTTCTGGGTGCAGGCGGGCATCCAGAAGGCAGAGGAGTGGGAGAGTGGGCGGGGCTTCAGTCTGAGGCCTTGGGACAGGCATCCTCAGAAACAGCCTGCGAAGGGGGCCCTCGGAGGACCTGGGCCTGAGGGAGGGCGGGGACGGGCTTGGAGGTGGTGCGACCAAGGGAAGCTGTTTAGCTTATATGTACATATTTATTTCAGATACAATAGCAGATGGGGGCAAATATTTCACAACGAAAGCGTATGCACAAAAAAACAAGTGCAGAAAAATGTAGAGAGATGGCAGTGTTCGCGAGAAAGTAGGGGCAGTGCATTTATATTTCCAAACAAAGGAAAATAAAAGTAACATATATAGGACTGTGAGTAGGGAATGGATTGGGAACGAAAATTTTCTGTGTAAATCTTTTAATGTCTTCTCTGTATGCTTGTATTACCTATTTTTAAATTAAACGGATTCTTGAAGCATGTGTGATGGGATGTTTCTCTTTCCACTCACATCTTGTCCTAATTCCCCTTCCATGCACCATAACGGTTTCTCCCTTGTTCTTGAAGATTTCCATACAGAAATGCTGTGTGTGTGTATGTTCTTGAACAGTTATTCCGGACATAAAAAAACAATGAGTGTGTGTGTGTGTGTGTGTGTGTGTGTGTGTGATCTTATAATTTAGTTGATAAGAATTCATGCAATTGGAATGATTCTTATCAATTAAATGATAATTTATTGCTTGGTTTGTGCCTGACGTTATTTTAAATTCTTTACATGAAGGATCATATTTAATTCTCATTACATGAGAAGAATTTCATGGCCATGAAGAAAAGGGTAAGACCAATGGCACCTGCTTTTTTTTTTTTTTTTTTTTAATGAGGAGATCAAGTCGGCACGACGCGGGCGCAGGCTCCCCTGCACCTACATTTTTAAAAAATTACCAAAACCACAGCTGGGCGCAGTGGCTCACACCTGTAATCCCAGCATTTTTGAGGCCAAGGCGGGCGGTTCACGAGGTCAGGAGATCGAAACCATCCTGGCCAACACAGTGAAATCCCCGCTCTACTGAAATACAAAAAGATTAGCCAGGCGTGGTGGCGCCTGCCGGTAGTCCCAGGTACTGGAGGCTGAGGCAGGGGAATCCCTTGAACCCAGGAGACGGAGCTTGCAGTGAGCCGAGATCCATGCCACTGCACGCCAGCCTGGAGGACAGAGCAAGACTCAGAGTCAAAGAAAAAAAAAAATTATCAAAACCTTTCTTATCTCCTGTTGTCCCAAAAGCCGTTTGTCTGTCCTAAAGAATCCTCATGTTCTCATGCAGACATTTGTCCCCTCTGCCTTTTTTACCTACTGAGTTAGGCACATAAGCCACTAACTGATTTGTTTTTTGTGTTTTTTTTCTTTTTCTTTTTGGTAGAGACAAAGTCTCACTATGTTGCTTAGGCTGTCTTGAACTTCTGAGCTCAGGCAGTTCTCCCGCATCGGCCTTTCAAAATACTGGGATTACAAGTATAAATCACTGCGCCCAGACAGAAACCTCCAATTGTAACCATTTAGCAGGCTCGCAAGTTCTTTTGCTAGCTCCAGCATACATGCAAATAAGCCTTTTTGGGGAGTGTCCTATAAAAAGTTTAACTAGACCCTATTTTTTTTTTTTTTGAGACCGAGTTTTTTTTTTTTTTTTTTAATGAGGGGATAAGGTCGCCACAACGCGGGCGGGGGGTCCCCCGCCCCTTTTATAAATATATTTATTTTTTTTTTTTTTTGAGACGGAGTTTCGCTCTTGTTACCCAGGCTGGAGGGCAATGGCGCGTTCTCGACTCACCGCAATCTCCGCCTCCTGGGTTCAGGCAATTCTCCTGCCTCAACCTCCTGAGTAGCTGGGATTACAGGCACGCACCACCATGCCCAGCTAATGTTTTGTATTTTTAGTAGAGACGGGGTTTCACCATGTTGACCAGGATGGTCTCGCTCTCTTGACCTCGTGATCCACCCGCCTCGGCCTCCCAAAGTGCTGGGATTACAGGCTTGAGCCACCACGCCCGGTCGACTAGACCCTATTAGTTGACGGTGTTGTTGAGTTCTTATACACTTATGCTGATTTTCTGTTTTGTCTTTTGTCAGTTTAATTTACAGGCCTTGGCTGGGCATGGCGGCTCACACCTGTAATCCCACCACTTTGAGAGGCTAAGGCAGGAGGATCACTTGAGCCCAAGAGTTCGAGACCAGCCTGGGCAGCCTAGACTCTCATCTCTACAAAACATTGTTTGAAAATTGGCTGAACATAATAGCACATGTCTGTGGTCCCAGCTACTTCGGAGGCTGAGGTGGGAGGACCGCTTGAGCTCAGGAAGCCACGGATGCAGTGAGCTGTGATCGTGCCACTGCACTCAAGCCTGAGTGACAGAGTGAGATCCCGCCTCAAAAAAAAAAATAATTTTTTGGAGGCCCCATAAACTGAACAAAATATAATAAAGAGAAAGCTTTTCCTCCTCAATACTAGCTTCATAAAGAACTGGAAAGTGTTCCCTTCTGTTCCGTTATCTGGAAGAGAGTATGCAGAATTGTTGTTTATTCCTTAAATAGTTGGTAGAATTCTCCAGTGAAACCTTCTCCAATGAAAGCTTCTTTGGAGATTTCTTTGGGGAAATTTTATTGCAAATTCAGTTTCCTAATCGTCATAGTGCTACTCAAAGTATCCTTTTCTTTAAGAGGTGGGGTCTCGGGCCAACGCGATGGCTCAAGCCTGAAACCTCAGCACTGTGGGAGGCCAAGGCAGGCAGATCACGAGGTCAAGAAACGGAGACCATCCTGACCAACAGGGCAAAACCCCGCCTCTACTAAAAATACAAAAATTAGCTGGGCGTGGTGGCGCACGCCTGTAGTCCCAGCTACTCAGGAGGCTGATTCAGGAGAATCACTTGAACGCAGGCGGCGGAAGTTACAGTGAGCTCAGATTGTGCCACTGCCTTCCAGGATGGTGACAGAGTGAGACTCCGTTTCAGAAAAAAAAAAAAGAGAGAGATAGGGTCTTACTCTGTCAGCAGGTGATTCTTCTGCCTCAGCCTCCCCAGTAGCTGGGACTATAGGCACATGCCAGCACACCTGGCGAGTTTTTGGGCTTTTGGTAGAGATGGGGTCTGGCTATGTTGCCCAGACTACAAAGTATCTATTTAATATTGTGTGAATCATGGTAACTTGTGTTTTT